TGCATACAAATTGAAATAAAAGACAACTAAACTATGTACTCTCCTCGAACAACAGTTAAATGTTCTTAGAAAAATACTATTAAAAGAAAGGAAACTAAATATTAGCTATTTTGGTGTGCATACAAATTGAAATAAAAGACAACTAAACTATGTACTCTCCTCGAACAACAGTTAAATGTTCTTAGAAAAATACTATTAAAAGAAAGGAAACTAAATATTAGCTATTTTGGTGTGCATACAAATTGAAATAAAAGACAACTAACTTACCGATGGATGGTTTAACAATTTTTTCAGCTATTTCACACTTTTTTTGCATGGTACCACCCTTTAGAGCTGTAGTCAGCTTCTCTGGTGTGCTAAGCTTGGTTAGAACTCCACACTGTTCCTCTGGTGAAAAAGTAATAGGCTTCAAATTAATTTTGCAACTGTTAACTATATGAGAAAACCAATTAATTCTAGAGTCTCAAAAGCACGTCACTATCAGCACTTGCTACAAGTTTAGTTAAACACACTTTTTAATAAGTATTAACTAACATGTTAAAGATGACAATACTAATTTGAATATTTTTTGAGCAAAAGAATGACATTATTTAAGTCTTCAATGCGACATATCACGCATTTTTTTGTGTGTACATGTAGAATATGGTTAATACGTGTCACTTCATAAGAAACATTTACAAAATATTGTGATCTGAGAAAAAACTCACAGAAACAAATGGGAGATATTTTTTAATGACATGTGGTTAGAGTGGCATAAGTTAAGTATTTTATTACCTAGTAACAAATATACCCAGTAAGCCATTATATTTAACTCTATCAGAGTATACATTTCTTTTCACCTCAAAATCAAAAGTATTTTAAATGACTTGAAATATTTACAGTATATAACGTTCAAAAAAATAATTTTAGTGTAGATTATTAACTGTGGAATTCATTTTATTAATAAGCTTAAACACTTTTAGTAGCTAACTGCATCAGATTCAGTGAACGTGAAACAATATCTAGTCATTATTCACCTCTTTAATAACAGGACATTGAATACTGTGAAAGAAAAAATATATTAAAAAAATTCTAAAGAAATTTGTAAATCTTTGAATATTATCAAGAGATAGGCAGATACAAATATACATACACAGTTTTAACATATTAAACCTATACAACTATTTGTTCTCTGGTGTTGAAATCTGCCCATATTATACACATAATTCCCATGAAACTGGCAAATCAAACAAGTGGCAGATCATTTGTCACAAACAAATCATGTCAGTATAGTTCCTATCAATTATCATTTCCTTTACTTTCATTGTTAGTCAAATTTCAACATGAAATAAAAAAATTAACTGCATCTACAGTAACAGATATATAAAAAAAAGAAGTTTACTTACCACATATTTTGTAGTCAGCCTAAGTTTCATTTCAACAACAATTTGATTATGAGCATAAATATATAATTCAGGCATATTTAATGAGATAAAAATAAAAAGCCAAGAGCTTGTTCAAGATGTAGATGCAATGTTTTTAGTAATTACAGTAAGTCAGGAAGAGACTGAAAATTCAAGACTCGGGTTTTATCACACAAAGATGGTGTTTCAAAAATGTTTAGGAGCGTTGAGTCAACACACTTGTATGGTTTGTTTTACTGCATTACAAAAAAAACACAACAAAAAACATTCTATAGTTAGTTGTTTGGTTGTTTTAGAGCAAAGCCACATTTGGCTATCTTCTGTGTCCACCACTGAGAATCAAACCCTGCATTTTAGTGTTATAATTCCATAAACTTACTGCTGTCCCATCCAGGGACAACTTTCTAAAGATAATGTAGCTTAAGTAAAATATCTTATATGTGATACTTGTGTGAATTTGCAACTTTTAAAATTCAAAATGATTTCATTGTGATATGTTTTACAAGAAACAATTAAAAATGCTTACCTTTGTTGCAAATTTCAATAAACGATTTTATGCCTACCACATTCTTGTAAATCTTTCCAATAGTTTTTATTTTATAAACCCATAAATTTTATCTTTTTGTTTTGAAAAACAACACAATCAGTTTCACTGTGTATTTACAATAACTGGCTTACAATAAAAAATAACTTTACCATAAAAATTATAAGCAATCCAACTTTTTTAAAAAAATCATTAATCAGAAGGTTTCATTTAATATACACGAGTTATAAACCTATTTTTCTTATTTACTTTATATATATATATATATATTACTTTTTTTTGGCAATTTTCTTTACACATTCAAAATGTTAATAAGGCTGACAGGACCTAATGTGAACATGTCCTAGCACACACAGCAGCTTTGTCAACAAAACAGAAGTAGATATAATCAAGTGCAATGAGGTTTAACTAAGCCTACTTCACCTCGTTCCATAAAAAAACATCTCTTTTCTATCATACAGCGACATCATACTTAAAATGAAGTGTAAAATGATAAAAGCAAGATTTTCACAATCTTTAAAAATCAAGACTAACTGTAGCAGAGGTTGTTCACAAAAATATTTTCTTTTAATAACATGTCACCAATCTAAGTTCCCATCTTTATGCAAGTCTCTGCTAAACTGGAAGCCAAGTTGAAACAGTTAAAAACAAAGAAACAGCTTTCATTAAGTGCTTAAATCATTAAAGTATGACCTCTGAAAGCTGAAATAGAGGTAATTACATCACACACTGACAACAGCGGTTGAGAAACAGTGACTAAATATGATAAAATTCATAAAACTACACTTGTACTGAAGATACCTAGTTCTAATTAGATCTATTTTGTTTAAAAGCATTTTGACTTTGTCGTATTAATATCAGAAAATCCACAAACTAATGTTTTCATTCAGAGTGCACTGAAATCAATCCAAAATTAAAATTGAAGATGAAAAACATTTTTGTGTATAAAATTAAATTCATTAAAACCTTTTTTTTTTATTGAATAATTTTCAACTCCAAAATATTAAATAGATGTACAAGTTTACAAGTACAGGGGAGAGTACACCCAACCATGTACCAAAGGGTTAATTTAACTGGACACTCAGTTTGATGGAAAGAAATTACAAACTGGGTTATATGTGTATATTTCCTGCTTTGTAACATTTTCACCAATATACTGCACACACATATGTAGGCTGGTCCAAATCAGTTATATTTTGTTCCCCAACCTAAGGTAAAGCTGATGTAGTAAATATGTTTTAAGAAGACAGTACAAAAGATACAAACTTCAACTATCTTTTATGTAAGTTTCAGAAGATTAAGTATGTTCTTGTATAGTAGAAAGATAAAAGATCTTGAAGATTCTTCATAAATTTTTTTTGTTTTAAATGGACACACATACACGTCACACACGAGTGCAACTTCTGGTTTTTGCTTACCATTATTGATTTCCAAGAGAGGCATTCGTGAATTTGTTGAGGATATTATAGATATGTTTTTAGCTTCAAAACGTGGGGCCATTGTGAGGCATGAGGTTGGGAGACGTGAAGGAAGATACCCTAAAAAATTTAATTAATATATTAATGATGTACTGTTCTTCCTTCAATAATATAAAAAAAATATACAGCAATACCTACTACTAACTTAGAATATGAAATCAAATTGTAAAACTTGAAAACCTACAGCACGCTGTATATTTTTAAACATTTAATACAAATTTTAAGTCAAATTTTTTTTAATGTAATATAGCTTACTTAAAATCCCAACAGCTTTGACACATTTCTGCATTAAGTTCTCTTCTTTGTAATTGGACAGTTTTCTCTATAATTCTAAACTGGTTTAAAATTTCTATTATACAACTGTCAAAACTCAGAGACCAATACCTAACACTACAACAACAACAACAAAAAATCAATAGACATTTGAGTTATTGCCAAATTAATGGCTAAATTTACCTCACTGTAATGTCACCTATCTAAACTCTATACTACTATCACAAACTCATCACTTCAGGCCTAAGACATCTACTGAAACTGTACCTAATGTCATGAACTCATCATTTAAAACTTGATCCATAGTTGGTCTTTGGCTTGGGTCCGAATGAAGCAGCTTTTGTATTAACTGACGAACTGGGAGGCTGACTCTTGAAGGAATATGATACTCATTTTTTTTTATTTTTGTGTAGGTGTCTTTTAGTGAGGAAGTCTCAAACGGAGGCCTTCCAACCAGCATGGTGTACCTAAAAGTATGATTATGAAAAACTGTTTCTTACTTTATCTCTCTCTCAGTTTTCTAAATGATTCCCATAGTTATGACCACTTTGACTTTAAAACTGGTTTCTGATCGAGATCAAACTTTTCAACATTTTACTTTGGTCATTACTGACTAATCATCAAAAGCTTCTAAAACGTCACCCTTAAAAATAGTCAGATGCAAAATAATCCAAATAAAAATAGTAAGTTTAATCATATCATGAACAAACAGTAAAGAATTCATTATACAGACACTAAAATTGTACATCTAAGAATTTTATATTTAAAATAACGTCATTAAACATGAAATTAACTAATGTCTAAACAGAAATACGAGGAAGAATTTTTGTACTAAATAAGCAATTTCAAGATAAATGGTTTTTCATATTTCAAACAAACATAGTGAATTTCATAAAAGTTTACACTTACAATATACATCCTAAAGACCAAGAATCCACTTCAAAACTATGTCCTTTCTTTCCAAGCACCTCAGGAGCAATATAATTAGGAGTTCCACATAGTGTTCTGAATTCACAAATATATATATATATACATACAAACACACACATATATACATATATATCCTCTGTATTTAAAAGAAATTTTCTGAATTTGATAACTATTACTGAATTTCAATTTTAAAGATAAAGTTAAAATAAATATTTAAAACACAGTTTTAATGTAATTTCTCAAATACACAAGTCTGCATCTATATTTTATAAACATTGTCTATTTCGTTAAATGAATGAATAACCATTCACGTTTGTATTATCCTAGAACCATCTACAGAGCTGAAATTAAGCTAAATTTTTAATAAGGAAAGCATGGAAACTTTGTACAAGCCCTATGAAATTTGTTCTCTCTAACTTACATGCATTTCATTTTAAATACAATGTTTTCACTATTATAATTGGAAACTTTAAAGATCCTATAAACACTTTGAAAGTAGCTTTGTCCCACAGTCTTAAAAATAATAATAATTATACTTGTAAAATTAAATATCAGTACTACTTCTACTATTATCATGATCACATTACCAAAAATATATCTTAGGTTTACGAAATATAACTGGATGGTAAACTTTAGATGAAGCAAATGTTGTTTAACAATCATGATAAATTTATGTTGTAATACCTAGAAAAAAAACTGAATAAGCAAAGAAGTTCAGCAAGAACATCAATAAATAATAAAAGTAATAAGATATGACTATACTTTCTTAAAAAACTAAATAGTGTTTATTAAAATTAAAAACTAGCCAAATTTTCAACATTTCTGTTACAGCATTTGAAAAACAGGAAGGCTTTTGCATAATACGGAAACTTTATTTACCGTACCAAAATATTATCATCATATTGCTATGATTTTCTAGTACATAATCATTGCATTTACAGAACCTCAGCAGGTCAAGTGTTTAGAAAGTTTACCAAACATTAACTAACTAACCAATTATAGTCATTACAAAATTGACTTTATCTTAACTTTGGCATTAGTTTTTGTCTCACAGGTTTTAAGTCAAGGATTTCCCATGTGTTAATTTATACACACAGTCTACTCAAAAAATTTAAAATACATGTGGAGCAAAACACCAACAGTAAGTGTAGACAATGTCTGATCCTAATAGTGAGTATGGTACAGAACTGTACCATATATTAGGCACCCCCTTAAAACACCTGTTGTAAATGTAATATATGATCTTGATGAATACGTTGTCAACACTAAGACTACAAGAAGCCTCAGTTGCCTAATTTAATACAGTTTCAAACAATTCAGTTTTTTTTTGTTTTGTGTCATTCCAATTCTTGAGCTTACCTCTTGAATTTTTTATCTTTTTATTTTTTATGTAACAAGTTTTAAAATGTTTTCTAGTCAAAATAATAGCAAGTATAACTTTATGGTAACTTATTAACTTGTTTATTATTACGTGGTCAAGAAGAAAAAAATCCGGATCATATTTGCATAATACATATTGTTGCGTCATCGAGATCATGTGATTCTCACGCTCTCTACTTTCTAGAATTATCCTGTAATT